TTGATAATAACTATTCTAACAGGAATAAGATGATATATTGTTGTGGTTTTGATTTACACATCCCTGATAATGAGTGATGTTGTGCATTTTTTCATATTCCTGGCCATTTGTATGTCTTCTTTCAAGAAATGTTTATTCAAGTCCTTTGTCCTCTTTTAAGCCGGATTACTTAATCAAATGTTTACTGTTGAGTTGTTTTGAGTTACTTATGTATTTTGGATTAATCTCTTACCAGATGTGTAATTTGCAAGTAAAGTGTTTTCTCTTGTTCTGTAGGTTGTCTCTGCATTCTGTTGTTTGTTTCTTTTTTGGGTAAAAGCTTTTAGTTTGTGATCCTATTAGTGTATTTTGCTTTTGTTGTCTATACTTTTGAGGTCATATCCAAAAAGTCAGCTCCCATACCCATATCTTAGAATTCTTTCCCTGTTTTCTTCTGGTGGTTTCATAGTTTCAGATTTTATAATTTTTAGTGTAGAGGTCTTTCACTTCCTTGGTTAAATTTATTCCTAAATACTTCATTTCTTGTAGCTATTGTTAATTAGATAGTATATAGAAATATTACTGATTTTATATGTCTAATTCATATCCTATAACTTCATTGAATTCATTTATTAGATTTAATATTTTTTGATAGAGTTTTAAAGTATTTTCTCTATTTAAGACCATGTTATTGCAAATAGTAATAATTTGGCTTCTTCCTTTCTGATTTGGATACCCTTTATTTCTTTCTCTTGCTTTGTTGCTGTGGGTAAGACTTCCATTATTGTGTTGGGTATAAGTGGCAAAGTGGGCATCTTTGTCTTGTTATAAATCTTGGAGAAAAAGCTTTTGTTTATTCCCATTCACTATCATGTGAATGGCTGTGGGTCATTGCTGTGGGTTTGTCATGTATTATCTATTATTGTGTTGAGGTACATTACATCTATACCTAATTTCTTGAAAGTTTTTATTATAAAGGGATGTTGAATTTTGTCACATATTTTTTTCTTCCTGGATCAAAATACACTTCCTGGATCGGTTGAAATGATTATACAGTTTTTGTCTTTAATTCTGTTAATGTGTTGTGCCACATTTATTGATTTGTGTATATTGAACCCTGGGACGAATCTCACTTGATTATGGTGAATGATCTTTTTAATGTGCTACTGTATTCAGTTTGCTAGTATTTTGTTGAGATTTTTGCATCTTTGTTAATCAGGGATAGTGGCCTAGTTTTCTTTATTTGTTGTGTCCATATGTGGTTTTGGTGTCAAGGTAATACTGACCTTGTAGAATGAATTTAGAAGTATTACCTTCTCTTCAGTTTTTTGGGAATAGTTTGGGAAGGAATTGGTATTATTCAGATTCAGCAGTGAAGTCATAAGGTCCTTGGTTTTTCTTTGATGACAGACTTTTTATTACTGATTCAATTTCCTTATTACTGGTCTGTTCAGATTTTCTATTTTTTTAAAAATAATTTCATCTTGATAGATGGTATGTGTCTTTTTACCAGTGAGTTTTATACTTTCAAATTCCCTTTAAATTTTATTGTAAGACAGTTCTGGTGGTAACAGAGGAGAGTTTTTCTGGGTACAGTCTTCTTTTTTAAAAATATTTTTTTAGTTGTAGATGTACACAATATCTTTATTTTACTTATTTTTATGTGGTGCTGAGGATCTATCCCAGTGCCTCATGCATGCGAGGCAAGAGCTCTACCACTGAGCCACAACCCTAGCCACCCCACCACAGTCTTCTTGATTGGCACTTTTTTGTCTTTAACACTTTGAATATAGGATCCCACTTTCCCCCTTTCTTATAAAATTTCTACTGAGAAGTTTGTTACTAGTCACATTGTAACTCCTTTATATATAGTTTACTTTTATCTTACTGTTCAAAATCCTCTCTTTATCTTTAGTCTTTGACAGTGTGATTAAAATATATCATGGGATAGTCTTAAATTTGGAGTAAATATTGTTGGAGATTTTAGACCTTTCTGTACCTGGATATTTAATTTCTGGGGATTGAACAAAGGGATGTTCTATCAGAGCTATATCCCCACCCTAAGTTGCTGACACTGGCTTTGAACTTGTGATCCTCTTGCCTCAGCCTCCCAAGTTGGTGGTGGATTATAGGTGTCACCACCATGCTGGGATATAACCTATTTCTCTTTTTTTGTAGTCCCTCTTGAATACAAATGATTTATGCATGTGTTCTTTTGATGCCGTCCCATAAATTCTGTACTCTTGGAGCATTTCTTTTATTTATTTTTTCTTTTCTCCTCTGTATATTTTCGAATATCCGTCTTTGGGTTTACCCATTATTTTGCTTGATCAGTTCTACTATTGATGCTCTGTTGCATTTTTTTCATCTATTGTATTTTTTAGGATTTGTGTTTGTTTGTTTTTTTAAATCAATTGCTCTTTTAAATTTCTGTGATAAATTTCTGACCTTTTTGTTGTTGTTTACAGAGCTTCCTTAAAATAGCTATTTTTAATTCTTGGTCAGGCCATTCATATGTCTCCATCTTATTAAGTTCAATCACTGGCAACTTTTGTCCGCTTGGTGATGTTATTTCCCTGATTGTTTTTGATTCTGGTCTGCATCAAATAAGTAGGGACTTATCCCAGCCTTGTACTCTGGCATTTTTGGGGAATGTCCTTCAATAGCAATCCCTAAACCCATGATGACTGCAGCTGTGGTAGTTATGGCCATAAGCCCTGGATTGCATGACCGGTGCAGAGTGGGCTGATATCCTGTGACTTCTGAGGCTGGCTCAACACTGGATTGGAGTCCTATGATTGCTGAAGCTAATTCAGCACTGGGGGATACCAGAAACCTACTGTTGCTGAGATAAACCTGCAACTGAGATCTGTACTGAACTCAAGGCTTTTTCAGTAACTTGGTGCTGGTGGGCTACAACACAAGACCTTTACAGAGTTACCATCTGATACCAATAATATAAAAGTGTTCTTCCTACCCTCTTCAATGTGTCTATAGGCTCAGTCTGGGTATCAGCATGGAGGTCAAGGGCTGTCAAAGTCTGCCTGGTGATGGGTTTTACTATTGGAGGCCCAATACTGAAGTCCAAGCAAAGTCCTATGATTCCGACCTCTTCTTTCCCCAAGCAGATGGTATTTCTATCCATGCTGTGCTGCTGCTTACAACTGGGGGAGGGGTGACATAAGTAATATAAAAGCGTTCTTCCTATCTTCTTCAGTGTGTCTTTTCTTATTATTATGCTATAACCAGATACTGAGATCTCTTACCAGATTTCTTTAGCTTTTGTGAAGGAAATTTCATGCATGAATAGTCATTCAAATTGATGGTTCTTCAGAGGGGTGATGACTGGAGAGTCCTCTTCCACCATCTTGCCCCACCCCGCTCTGGGAACTAGACCCTAGATGCTAATCTATTAGGGTGGGTTGTGAAACTACACAGGAATCATAAATTTGGATTCTTACATTGTACAAGCCTGGAGTTTTGATTCTCATAGGTTCCTCCCTGCATCCCTCCAGTATGAGCAGGCCAGGTGTGAGGCATGAGTGGAGCTTTTTCAGTTCCCTTTTCACATACTGACCAGCCCTTTTCAGGATATTGTCTCAAAATTTTGGGTATTTTGTCTGCATAGCCCCAACATACTCCTGTAGACTGCCTTGGGAGTCAGCTGGAGCTTTTATCTCTGGCTTTGTGTTTCTTTCTTTCTCTCTCTCTTTCTCTCTCTCTCTCTCTCTCCAGGGATTGAATCTAGGAGTACTTAAAACACTTGAGCCACATCCCCAGCCCTTCTTTTTGTGTTTTATTTAGAGATGGGGTCTCACTGAGTTGCTTAGGGTCTTGCTAAGTTGCTGAGCCTGGTTTGGAACTCACTATCCTCCTGCCTCAACGTCCCGAGTCACTGGGATTACAGACGTGCACCACTGTGTAGTTTTGAATTTTTTTCTGGCACTTGTGAATTTCCTTCTCCCTTCCTTCTTTTTGAAAAGGGCTGGGGGTATAGCTCTGTGGTAGAGTGTATGCCTAGCATTGTGAGATCCTGGGTTTGATCTCTAGTACTGAGAAAAAAAAAAAAAGGATTTGAGGTTGAATTATATTATTCTCTTTTTGAAAATATTTATTTTTTAAATGGGTGATAGATATGTGGTTGTGAGCTAAAATTAGAAAGATAAAAATAGGTGTATGTGTCTTCTTTTGCCTTGTTCCTATACCAGTCCCATCCCATCGCCTTTCCCTAGAGATTGACCATACACTAATTTATTCCAAAAAGCAGTTTTAAACTTTATAAAGTAGTGATTATAGTTTAATTTCATAACCAATATTCAGGATTTTCCCCCATATTTAAAAACAAGTGGTTATTGTGTTTTCTTCTGCTCTGAGAGCATGTAAGTTAAAACTTTATATTTCATCTCTATGTTTTTATGTATGTTAGTGGATTGTCTGTGTTTTAATCTTTGTTCACTTTAGAAACTCCTCAAAATGTGAATTTGACAAAAAAGCATAAATTAATGATTAGATTGTTTTATGTGAAATTTTAAAATAGTAGAACTTTAACTCTAATTTTTGGGAGGTAGTAGAAATGATATTTTAAGATATTGGATCTTATTTAAACACAATGCAGATATCCTTAAAAATTGTGCCAATTACTAACCAGTCCATGCTGTTGATTGCAAAGGTACAAATAATTGCTCAAAGTCAGAAGTCTGTCAAAGATAAAGGTCTCTGCTGGGTGGGATGGCAGCTTGGCAGCTGTCAGGAGGATTCTAAGTTCAAAGCCAGCCCCAACAATTTAGCTGGGCCCTAAGCAACTCAGTGAGACCCTTTTTCTAAATAAAAAAGGGGCAGGGAATGTGGCTTAGTGTTTAAGCACCCCTGGATTCAATACCTGGTATTGAAAAAAAAGATCTCTTTTGGGTTCCCTAGACACAGTTTATACCACTGATTGCCTAACTACAGCTTGGTGAAATTTAGTAAAAATTTAGGCTAGAAATTGAAGACTTTTTGACATAATATGTTTTCTTCCTTAGATCAACCTCTCCACTTCTCCTACACCTGCACAGTTAATAAGCCGTTCCCAGGCTTCCAGTTCTACCAGCGGCAGTATTACCCAACAGACTATGTTATTAGGGAGTACCTCCCCTACTCTAACGGCGAGCCAAGCTCAAATGTATCTCCGAGCTCAAATGGTAAGATACCAGCTACCAAAGTCCCTCAGTGTTCAAGGACTTAGAGACCAAATGTTTCTTGATTTGATGCAATGAGGAATTTTTAATATTTAAGATAGTGCCTAACAATTTTGTGTATATGATCAGTTTCTTATACATTCATGAAAGTTACAAAAATTCTAATTTGAATTAATAATACTTCTTGGTAATAGATAATATTTGTTAACTTTGGGAAGCTAACAGATTCTATGACGTAAGAATGGTATTTTTTAATAATAAGTTTACCAGTTTCAAAAACTATTTTCACATTTTAACATTTCTGAAATTGCATTTTATCTTACACTTAATAATTACTACTTACAATGGTACATAAATTATTATATATTTTTGACATGTTAGATTTGGTGAAATAGTTAGAAGTGTTAAAAGCCTCATTATTAGCCATAAGTAAGAGGTTATATCCTGGGACTGTCTGATATCATATTGGAGTGCCTTTAATTTACCAGATGAATCTTAGCTTTGGTTATTCCCATCTCAAATTCTGTGTGGTTGTATTATTAGGCTTACTTTGATTTTTTTTTTAAATTAACACAGGAATGTCAATTTGGTATTCTGTGATTGGGTACATACTGTTTTTTCTAATTTAATTGTTGAACTTCTTTAAGGAATGTAGAAATGGTTGACATATATTTTATTTGATGTCTTTACAGGAAGCTAGACAAAAGCTTTGGCCCTAATGTACTTTTTTGTGTATTTCTGGATCCCCAGTTCACCACCTAAAATTGGAAAGGAAGTTTGCAGTCACATTTCTAACAGTAAATAATGATATGACTAACCTGTTAATCACAGATTATTCGAAGTATTACCATATTTCTGGGTCCCCTCATGATATCTTCTTTAGGTAATAATGTTACTTTAAAATAGGGCAGAACCATTTTAAATGGTTGCATTTGGCCATTTTTGACCTCTAAAATTGATAGTTCGTATGGCTCAGAATAAATGGAATATCTTCTCTTTGGGTTAGTGTTTCCAGGATGTTTGTTTCATAAATTAAATAAAATATCTTTATGTGAAAGTTATACTTTGTTGTTAAATTCACTTAAGTTTAGTGAAAGACTAAAGAAGTTTCAAAAGATCCCATAATTGGTTGTTTAATTTAAATAGCAGTGAAGAACTGAATAGTTCTTAAAATAATCTTGAAATAATATATTTATACATTCTTTGAAGCAACTGTCATAAGTTACTAAATTGAGTTAGATAATGTGAGTGAATTATATTGCCTTAGAAATTAATGACATTTGTTTAACGTTAAAATTTTGAAAGAGATGGTGATGAGTGAATGAATTGAGTATGATTTCCTTTTTTTTCTTCTTTTGATGTGAAGCTCTTTTGTTCTATTTTAACATATTGTGGCATTTACATTTAGAATATTTCTTTACAAATAGTTTTTAAATCAAAAGAAACCTAGGTTTGTCCTTTAGATCTTCTCTAGCTGAGAGAAATGTTATAGTCTAGCGTGTGGCATAATTATGCTCGTGGTAAAGAGGACTGAAGAAACTTTTTAGTGTTTCTTTTCATGTTTTTCACTGAAATTTAATTTGTGTCCCAAAATAGTAATTATAGTTGTCTGCTTTAATTTCCCATTTTCGGGATCCTGAGATTGTAGTTTGAACTGGGAGAAAAATTAAGTATGACAGCTTATTTGGGACAAAATTTGGTTTGAGAATTTCATATTACCAAAATATATTTTCTTCTTTGAACACTGATTTATTTTTGTACTCATCAAATCATGAGCTCTTTCAAAACCGTTTGATTTTTTTTTTTTTAGTTCTCTATTATCAGAAACTTCCCTTTGTCATGTAAAATGTTTTGCTTAGGAGATATTCCTAAACTGCATTGTCTTTATGTCATAAATTTCAGTCTCTCTTGCCTGCTATACATTGTGTGTGGGACATGTTCTTTTGTCTTAGAGTATTTTTTTGGTTTTCTGTCTGTACAGCTGATTTTCACACCCGCTACCACTGTGGCTGCTGTACAGTCTGACATTCCTGTTGTCTCGTCGTCATCGTCATCTTCCTGTCAGTCTGCAGCTACTCAGGTGAGCTTGTCTAGCTTCATAATGTGGTACTTGAGGTCTGGATTTTTAGGTTAAAGATAAGCATTGCATTTGTAGTTCAACTACTGATGGTTTCAGAGCTCTTTGTCATGCATTTCAGATTGAAATTTTATAAGATACAATAAGAATTCCAAGAAATTTTTTTTGTTTTGTAGAAATTATAATACAATTAAACAGATATTTAGGTTGTCTGACATTCATTTATGAGAGTTATGCTAATGACATTTTTAGATTTATTGTAGATTTTTCTTATTATATGTGACTTTATTTTTTGCAGATTCATCTTCAGGCAACTGTGAAATAAATCAGGGTGAATGAGGATTTTAGATTTAAAAATCAATTAAATTGGGCAAATTTTAAATTTAAAAAAGTAGAATATTCCTTTATTTGATGCCATGGGAAAATAAACCTACCTTTCTCCTTACACCACTCATAAAAGTAAGCTAGAAGAAGCATGCAGACTTAAAGATAAAAGCAAAAACTTAAACATCTAGAAGAAATCAGGAGAATATCTACAAATCCAGGGTAGACAAGGCCTTTTTAGATAGGATACACAAAAACACTAATCATAAAAGAAAATAATGATAAGTTCTTTTGTACTCATCAAATCATGAGCATTACTTTATTAGAATTAAAAATGATTCCTTAAAAGACTTCCTTAAAAAAGTGAAGAGGCAAGCCACAGATGGAGGGAAAATATTCATAATACAGGCATCTGACAAAAGACTTGTACCCAGAATATACAAAGTATGTTTATAACTTAATAATTAAGTTCTAAGGGCAGGAGAATCACAAGTTTGAGACCCACATTGGCAATGTAGCAGGACTGTGTCTGAAAATATAGGGCTAGGGAATGTAGCTCAGTGGTACAATGCCCCTGGGTTTAATCCTCAGTGCCAAAAAAAAAAAAAAAAAAAAAATCAAACAAAAACAAATGGCAAAAGATTTGGAGACGTTTCACAAAAGACCAGTAAGCACCTGAAAAAATTCTCAGAATCATAATAATTATAGAAATTTAAATCAAAACCATTGTGAGTATTACCATACACTTAATAGAATGGCCACATGTTGGTGAGAATGTGGAGCAACCAGACTCATGCATTGCTGGTGAAAATGTAAAATAAAAAAGTACAACCATTTTGAGGAAAAAAATTGGTAGCTCCTTATATAGTTAAATATACAATTTAACATATGACCCAGCAGCTCTCTTCCTAGATGTTTTCCATGAAAAATATGAAAACATACATCTACATAAAGACATAAACTTTTAAAGTTCTTGATAGCTCAATTCAGAATAACTCCAAACTGAAAATAACAATGTCCTTCAAAAACTGAATGGGTAAAAAAATTGTTGTTCTAAATTCATACAGTGGAACACTACTCAAAAAGAAGAAAGGAATGAACTACTGCTGCATCTCAGAAACATGTTTAGCAGAAGTCTAGGCAAAAAGAGTATATCCTCTGTGATTTCATTTGTATGAAAATCTAAAACAGGCAAAACTATCCATAATAAAGGAAATCAGATTAGTGAGTGGTATTTGGGGCAGAAGGTGGGGGAGATTGGGAAAGGGTATGAGTCAACTTTTATGATGATGGAAATGTTTTACATCTTGATCAGGGCAGTGGTTATACTGTGTGTATGTAACTCCTAGAACTGGTTCATTCATTTCATTGTACATAAACGACATCTCAATATATTTGGTAAAAATGATTTAGAGTGAATGAAGTTTAAATAATTGAGTAGAATATTACTTTGATACAATTTTGTTATTTTTCATAGTAAATGTTTTAGACTCCTTATGGCAAAAGTGGATGTTTATTATAAGGATCTTAATCTCTAGTAATAAAAACCATGAGGTAGTTCTTTGGTATTTTCCATATTACCTCTGTATATTATTTTTTTTTAGTAATAAAGGCTAGTTTTCACATGAGTGTATGAAGATGGTAGTCAGTTTAACTCAGGGTTGTTACAAGGAATAAATGTGACAACAATCAAAAAGTACTTAGCTCATAGTACCTGCTATACAATATCATATAGTACCAATTACTATTTTTGTTCTACATTGTCTGAAAATGAATATAAAGTTGGTTCTTGGATTTTAAGTAGCTAGTAGTAAAGAGAGAAACACAACCACTTAAAGGATTTATGGTTCTCAAGGTAAAAGAAACCAGTTGCTTGGGAAAACACAATTGTTTTTTAACATGCTCTCTAGAACACAATTTGTTTATGAGTTCTCATGAAGAAAAAATCTTAGGAATGTGTGTGTGAGATTGTGTGTGTGTGTGGCATAGCACTGAGGAATTAACCAGGGACCCTTTACCACTGAACCATATCCCGAGCCCCCTTTTAAAGTTTTTTATTTTGAGACAAGTTCTCAAAGTTGCTGAGGCTGACCTTGAATTTGGAATTCTTCTGCCTTGGCCTCCTAAATTGATGGAATTATAGGTATGCACCACTGTAACAGGCTTTACAACATCTTTAATGTGAGTATAGTCAAATTAGTTTATTAAAGTATAATCCCAGGTATTCAGGATGCTAAGGCAGGAGGTTTGTGAATGCAAGGCCAGCCTAGACAGTATAGCAAGACCATGTATTAAACAAATAAGTAAATAAAAAGTGGTCTTTGAGTCCAGTTTGATGTGGTCTGTGTGATGATCTGTCTTAATTCAAGAATGTGCTTTCAAGGAACTAGAGAACTGGATTGACCTTTAGGAATCTCTTGACAAATTTTTTTTTTTTTTTCTTTGCTGGGCTTTGGAAAGGGCAGTGAATAAGGCTAACAGTGGTAGGTGAAGCTAAGGCTTTTTAACACTGAGGGTAACTTTCCTCAAGTTTAGAACTGTTTTGGAAAATTTCTGCTCTACTCTGATTTAATTTTTTTTTTTTTTTTGCAATTGTAGATGGACAGAATGCCTTCATTTTATTTGTTTGTTTTTATGTGGTGCTAAGAATCAAACCTGTGCCTCACACGTGTTAGGCAAGTGCTGTGCCACTGAGCTACAGCCCCAGCCCCTTACTCTGAGTTTTAAAATTATATTTGCAGTTTTTAAAAAAGTTGTATTTATAATTGATAAATATTTGAAGTTTTATTTTAATATTTTAAGCTACAAAAATCAATATAGCATTTAATTTTTCCTCAGCATTAGATAGTTTTTATAATATACTATTAAAAATGAGAAATTTGGGATATCTTACCCTTATTTATTATTTTAAGTGCTCCAGTCCTTCTATCATGCAAAAAGAAAAAATAATTTTAGAAAGATATTATAGGGCAAAAGATGTATATATATATATAGAGAGAGAGAGGGAGGAATAAGAAATTTCATTTACCAAGGGTATCTGGGGAATGAAAAGGTGACAGCCATTAAGATGTACCTTGTATAAAATTTGTCCACAATAGGTAGGCAGTGTGTAGTTGATGTAGTAATAGTTAAGGGTTTTTAAAATTTGGATTTTGGAAATTATAAACAGTCTTTCCCATCAGCATTAATCTCTGCTTAGAATTGTTAAATCTGAATCTGATAAGTACTATACTATACAATTTGATATAGAAATTAATAAAATCCATTCATATTATATATATATATATATATGGTTTCTTTTTTATAAACATTTGTGTCCCAGTCTCTGCTCTGTGGCCATACAGATAAAAAGTAGCTAGAATTTAAAAGCTAGAAACTCAGTTTTGTTGCCAGCACTGTGACACTGACTCTTAATTTCTTAGTTACCTTGCAATGATAGTATGCTATGATAATTTCTACAGCATTTGTTTGATTTGAATTAAATAACTGATGTGAGAGCATTTTGGCAGTGGAGACTCACTATAAAAATGTAAGGTGTGAAAATTAGCAAAAATACTTAATGCAAAATTAGACTCAAAATCAGAATGTTTCCCTCGTTTGATAATAGGAAAGGTTCAGGTGAAATGAAAATTGGATATAGAGTGCCTTGTCTTGGGATGGATTTTTTTTCTCCCCCAAAACCAAGCTCTGTCAAGGAAATCTGAATATGTGGTCTATTAACAGCTAGATTATATGTTTTGGCAATATAGTTTACATGGTTGGGATTTATGTATAATTTTTTTTATACACATACACACACACACCCCACCCACCCACCCAGACACATATATATAGCACTGTATATAAATATATACACATGGGCTGGGGATGTGGCTCAAGTGGTAGCGCGCTCGCCTGCATGTGTGCGGCCCGGGTTCAATCGTCAGCACCACATACAAACAAAGATGTTGTGTCTGCCAAATACTAAAAAAAAATAAAAAATAAAAAAAAATATATATACACATGTATTTTCTTGCAGAATTCAGAAACAACGGGAAAATTAAAATGTACTCTAGAAATGGATGTGGTGCAGGTTTTAGGATTCATTGTGTCAAATCCTCATTTATTGTGAATATGCTTTTCACTTCAAGGAATGCTCTCAAGATTTTCAGATGATTATTTACCCTTTGGTTATCATTTTTGCATAGTCTATTTTATAGATTATTTACAGCTAACATAGATTCTATATTGTCTGTTGTGCCTCCATCAGATACTTGTTGAGGTTTTGGGGGTATATATGAACAGATTTCATTGTTAGCCTGAGAACTGAGTATACTGAAAGAAAAACGCTATGTAAGATGTATTTCAAAATCAGATATAGGAGAATACCTGAGATTTGTGAAGTTTCTGATATGTTTAAACCCTGAAAGTGTTTAGGGAGTACAAAAAAGAATGTTGGGCTGGAGTTGTGGCTCAGCGGTAGAATGCTCATCTGGCACCTGTGAGGTCCTGAGTTCGATCCTCAGCACCACATAAACATAAAATAAAGGTATTGTGTCCAACTACAACTAAAAAAAAAAAATTTTTTTTTAATTTTTTATAAAAGGAATGTTAGAGATGAGAGCCTATTAGCTATAGTCACAGTATTTCACAGACACATACATTAATAATTCTAAAGTAAGCTAGACATTGTGCTGTAGGCCAATATGATCCTAATTCTATGGAAAAATCCTTTTAGAGGAAAGGGAAAAAATTGTTTTCCAACAAAGGGCTTTGGGGTTATTTCTCTAGGAGCATGAATGGGATTTTATTAGGCTTGGAAGAAAGTTATCAGGAGATAACTTTGAGGTGGATTGGCATTTAGGCAAGAGGAGTTTGTGGGGGAATGAAGGAAGTGCTAGATATGTTTGGAATGGGGAACAGAACAGTTTGGCAAGAATGTGAGAATTGTGGGCTGGAGAAATAGAAAATGCAGCACAAAATGATTTGGGTCTAGATTGTGAAGGGTTTGAGTACCAGTCTGAGAAATACCTGCATTGGTGATTTTATTTTTGTATTAAACTTTAATAATACAGTGGTTATTAGTCCATTATATTAACATTGATAACTAAATATTTGAGAAAAATCAGATGTTCCATATAGTTTCACTTAGAAAATTCTTTCAGTAGCTTAGAATAGAATTGATTAAAACTTAGACTTCCTAACATGAACATTTTTTCAGTACCTGCTGTTGACTGAACATTACATTGGAACTTAGACAGAAGAAATATAGCCTTTAAGCATCAATTAATGATGTATTTTGAGAAAAAGGGCACACATGAAACTGAAAAACAATTATTTATAAAGCAGCAGTATGTTATTTGCTTTGTCACTTTGCAATTTCTTTTACTTCAGTTTCCTTCTCAGGACCAGTGCTAGCACTAAATGTATTTGGTATATTTATTCCAGATAAGCAAGAAGTTAGGCAGCTTACTTTCTGCCTTGCTGTTTGGAATGTTATAAATCTCAGGTGAGAGTAATTGGGATAATCCTTGCCTCCATCCACATATAGTATATGTAGAATAGCCCCAAGTAGGAGCTATCACACAAACCATGCACAATTTTTTCAGTTCCTGAGAACTAGTTCTCAGAGGCAATGAGTGTTCAATAACAGCAACAACATTTAACTAAATTAAAAAAAGAGTTTCTGAAAATGCTCTTAACAAATATCACAATGGGGTAGGTGATTTGATGAATTAATTTTCCTTCTTACAAGATTAGTATCCCCTTACAGTCTCTGTAGTTAGAGCTGGTCACTTTTAATGTTGTATGTTACAGAGTAGTTTCCTCATATTCATAGTCCATTTGAGATATAACCACCCACACACTCACAATCTGTTGTCATTTAGTCTTTCATGATTCATCCTTCCTCTGCATTATTAAATCCCTCCCTTCCCTTTCTCTCCCCTTACCCCTGCCCCTTACATCTTTTTAAAAATTACCACATGATATTTAAGATGTGATTACTTAGAATAATTCTCCTTTTATTCAGGATTAACCACTTGTTTTAAGTACTTGGAATGTGTGACAAGTATAATATAATATAAATGTGTTGTCATTGTTGTAATGATTACCACATCAAAGTCATCTGATTTCATCCTTATTTTCTGTTATGTGATTCTTAGGTTCAGAATTTAACATTACGCAGCCAGAAGTTGGGTGTGTTATCTAGCTCACAGAATGGTCCACCAAAAAGCACTAGTCAAACTCAGTCATTGACAATTTGCCATAACAAAACAACAGTGACCAGTTCTAAAATCAGCCAACGAGATCCTTCTCCAGAAAGTAATAAGAAAGGAGAAAGTCCAAGTCTGGAATCACGAAGCACAGCTGTCACCAGGACATCAAGTATTCACCAGTTAATAGCACCAGGTAGGATAAAACTTTTATTTTATACTTGCTTTGTTTATTTTCTTAGCAGACAGAGCAAAAACAAAGATGTCTACTACTTGAATAAGAATGACATTTTAAAATGACATTTTAAAAGACCATCTCTCTATGTAGCTTTTTAAAAGGATAGATTTAAAAAGCCCAATAGCTAAAACAAATTATAACAGTAAAATAGACATTCTTTGTTAATTGATGGTTGACTAATGTCTTTATTGTGTGCTGGTCTCTCCTTGTAGAAATAAAATCTTTTAGCTTTTAAAAGAGATTTGCTTACTATGTTGCCTATAGTTTATTATATTTTAGTGGAACAAATTTAAAAGCTTCTAAAAAAGCAAATATGTTATTCTGTTTAAAGTCATCTATGGGAAGAATTTGTCACTTTCCAAAAATGAAGACTATGCAAATAAGGAAAGTTATTTTCCTTACTATGTTGTTTTTGTTTTTTTTTCTCCCCTCTCTGATTTCATCTGGGAGAAAGATGTCAGGGAATTGGCTAAGTCACTTTCATTCATGTCAAGCTTTAAAGCTCACCTGTGCTTCCTCTTTCTACAGATAACCTTGCCTCATGGTTCTTATACTGAAAATGTTGGGGCCATCCCATCCAGTGTGAGCTTCCTATCTCTTACATTCATCTCAGTATTTTTTAGGATTGAGCTTCCTTCACTTCTAATAAGATAAAGTGTTACCTACTTTCTTCTTAAGATCAATACCATTTGCTTATGAGCCCATCTTTTTTTTTAACCTGTTCCTGATCTTGTTTAATAGTTACCGTAGCATGTTTTATCTTTTCATGCTGATCCTTTGCTTCTCGAGCATGTTAGGTCTTCCCTATTCTTAACATATCTACATATTTTCGACAGCAGTATAACTGTTATTTATTATGTATGTATGAAAAAGATGCACTAGGCTAGATACTTCATAAAAAAAATCCTTTGTTCCAACAATCTCATTAAGCATCATCTTTCTGTTTCTGTTTCTGGTTTTATCTTTTTTTTTTTTTCTTTTTTCCCTTCTTTGCAGTACTGGGTGCTCTATTGTTGAGCTATATCCTCAGTCCCTTTAAAAAACAATTACTATTTTTTTTTTCTTTCTATTTTGAGACAGGGTACTAAGTTGCCAGGGCCAGTCTCAAACTTAGGATATTCCTGCCTTAGTCTCCTGGGATTCCAGGCATGTGCCCCCACTAACTGCTTTACTTTTTAGAAAGTTTTTCTACACTATTGAAGTTTGCTTTTTTTCCTACTTACATCTATTTCTATTTTCATTTCATTTTTCCTCTATGTTAAATTTAACATCATTCACTACTTCACCAAATGTCAGAATTTTGGATTGATCTGATTTCTCTGGTTAAAAATTTCTCCTCACTGAATACTTGTAACATTTTGTGCTCTTTTATGGTTCTTTTTTCTTTTATAGTTACCTATATAATTATTGATCTTAGCTTCTCTACTAGATAATAAAGTCCTTAAGGGGAGATATAATATTGAGTGTTTCTGTATTACCTTTTTTTTTTTTGATACTGGGGGTTGAACTCAGGGGAGCTTAACCACTGAGCAGCATCCCCAGCCATTTTTATTTTTTACTTTGAGACAGGGTTTTGCCAAGTTGCTGAGGGCCTCCTTAAGAGGCTGGCCTTGAACTTGCAATCCTCCTGCCACATCTCCTAAGTTGTTGGGATTATAAGCATATACCATTGTACCTGGATGATTCCTGTACTTTTTGATAGATTATGTTGAAAATTCTGATTTTTTTTCCAGTTAGAGTACTCTCTTTAGAGAAATGTGGGATATCTCCCTCCCTCCCTCCCTCCCTCCCCCCCCCCTTCTCTCTCTCTCTCTTCCCCTCTCTCTCTCCCCCTCTCTTTCTTTGTGTCTCAGTTGGGAACTCTTAGGTTTAGTTCAAGCAAGGAGGTTTACTTTTGGATTATTAGGTCCTCTTAACCAATACCTGGTTGCAAGTTGCAACTTACTCTTTCCTCTTTGGTTGGTAGTTTGTTAATTATCTTTACTGTTACCAGGGCAATATTTTATGTAGGTAATAACCCAGACTGACAGAGTCTCAGGTCACTTTCAGTTCCAGATTCAGATCTTATTTACATTAACCAAATTCCATTTTTCCACGATGCTGTTGATTAGAAACAAAATCACATCAGAACATCTTAAACCACATAAACCTTCCCAGGTACCAAACTTATAAGTTTGTTTAAGCCTCATGTTGCTATTACTCAAAGCAATTCATATATTCTGGCAGGCTGCAGCTATATTTTATACTCTCCTAGTTTCTCTCCTCTTATTGATGGGAAGTTAATTTGAAACTAAGATATTTTGAGAGATTATAGAATTGGTAACTTGGACTTTTCCTCAACCAGAACTGTTGCGTCATTTTAAATATTAAAAAAACTACCTGTGTTCTAATGTAAACCACATTTAATAATAATTATATTGGACATGTTTATTGTTTCCTTTATATGTATTTTTAGAATGCTAAAATAATATTTTCTGAACCACTTCTCCTGGGTGTAGAATTCCTGCTTGTTAGTAATTCTTTGTGTATGGGTATATATACTGGGGATTGAACCCAGGGGCATTAACACTGAGCTACATCCCCATTCCTTTTTATTTTGAGACTCTCTTGCTAAGTTGTTGAAACTGGCTTTGAACTTGTGATCATCCTATCTCAGCTTCCTGAGTCATTGGGATCACTGGCATGCACCACCTTGGCCTGGCAATAATTCTATTTTTAATGCCTACAGTAAAGGCAAACTTAAACCAAATGTATCAAAATCATGAACTGTATTAGAGCTGAAAAATTTTAAAACAGTTTTTAGAGCTTTTATTAAATTAGTCTAATTAGAAAATACATCATTTTTTTTTTGCAGACATTAATTAAGTATACAATGAAAATATCTGCTGTAGCTGCTATAGTAAAATACCTCAAACTGGGTAGCTGGAAAGCCCAAGATTAAGGTCTGGCAATATACAGTTTATGGTGAGATGTCTTGGTTTGTAGATGACCTTTTTCTTGTTATGTGCATTTCCTCTGTATGCACAGTGGGGTAGAGGTAGCTCTCTGATGTCTCTTTAATGTAAACACACAAATCCTGTCACTTCAGGGCCCTACCCTTGATTAATCCTTAGATGCCAGGGAAGTTAGGGCTTCAACATATGAATTTTGTGGGGTGGGGAAACTGCCCATAACAAGTCCCTAGACTCAGGATTATGAGTTCTATTAGACCCAGTGGTGTCCCTTGCCTGCATTTAATTACTCAGAGTTTGTTAATCTGTAATATGTTGGATTAGTATAGTGCCATGCCTACCTCATGGCATTGTAACTTAAGTGAAAAAATATATTATTATAAAGAACAGAGTTATTTGGGGCTGGGGCTATAGCTCAATGGTAGAGCACTTGCCTTGCAGGTGTGAGGCCCTGGGTTTGATCCTCAGCACCACAAATAAATAAATAAATAGAGATATCGAGTCCATCTACAACTAAAAATATATTTTAAAAAAATGTGTGTGTGTGTGTGTGTAGGAAAGAGAAATGATGCCAATCATTAGTCCTCCAAATAAAAATGATGCCAATCATTAGTCCTCCAAATATTAGGCCACCCTGATAATAATTGTTTAAAATCAGAGGAATTAAGCAACATGATGTGTTTTTCTAGAGTACTAGGCTTGTCTTGTATGATGGGGACATTGTTTCAGATATCCTCACAATTGGGCTGGGGATGTAGCTCAGTGGTAGAGCACTTGCCTAGCATGCACTGAGGCCCTAGTTCCATCCCCAGCACCATTAAAAAAAAAATCACAGTTATAATATCAAAACATTTTTCTCATGTGGACTTATGAACTAATGCAAAATATATAAACTTATTTTGACTTCTGACCCAAGAAAAATTTAATGTAGGTGAAAGGATAGGCTATTACTCTATTGGATTATCAGCTCTAGAATATAAACAGATCATTTACTTTCTAGTGTACAAAAATCAAGTATATGATAAATTTAGGCTGGGTGCAATGGCACATGCCTGTAATTCTAGTGTTTTGGGTGGCTGAGGGAAAATCACAAGTTCAAAGCCAGCCTCAGCAACTTAGTGCCCTAAGCAGCTTTGTGAGACCCTGTCTGAAAGTTTTAAAAAAATAAAATAATAAAAGATCTGGGGGTGTAGCTCAGTGGTAAAGCACCCCTGGATTCAGTTGCTAGTAACAGCAACAACAACAAAAGAAAATGGTAAATATAATTTATATTTTAATATAATTTATACTTTAAAATTGAATTAAAGTTTATTTCCTTATGTATAGGAAGGGGATAATAATTTCTACCTACTCCACAGGTATTTTATAAATATAGATGAGACATGTGAAAGCATCTTGCCTTGGAGGAAAACCACTATATGAAAATCTGAGATTTTGTTAATCCACCTTCTTTGAATACTGTATAACATAGTCTATATGCACACATTTATAAAGAGCTGACAGTCTTTGTTTGAAGTACCAGTCTACTTACTATGTGAAAATTATTTTGTTAGATGAAATTTTAAACTTAATTTCCATGTGTGTGTATTTTGCAGTGCTGGAGATTAAACCTAGGGCATGCTAAGTATGTGTATGCTCTACCACTGAGCTACACCCTCAGTCCCTCATTCTTTAAATTTAATTACTAGATATTACTGAATCTTCTAAACACTCTTTATTGAGATGTTAATTAGATGTTAATTTCTTTAATGGATCCTTAAAATTTTAAATAATAACCAAATGTGAAAGTATTTAAGAAAAAAGGTGCTGGAAGTTTTTATAAGACCTTTGTTACACATGTTGTTAAATGTAAAAGTAGATACAAGGGGCTGGGGTGGTGGCTCAGTGGCAGAGCACTTGCCTAATACATGCGAGGCCCTGGGTTCCATCCTCAACACCACATAAAAATAAATAAAATAAAGGTGTTGTGTTCAACTACAACTAAAAAGTAAATATTTTTTAAAAAGCATTTAAAAAAAATAAATACAGGGCTGGGGCTGGGGCTGAGCAGTAGCGCACTTGCCTGGCATGTGTGAGGCACTGGATTTGATTCTCAGCACCACATATGAATAAATAAAATAAAGGTCTATCAACAACTAAAAAAATATATTTAAAAAAAAAAGTAAATGCAAGTCTTTCAGACATGTAATAGAACTTTTATCATTTTCTGAAATTTAAGAAAGAAATTATGCCCTATCTTTAGATCTATTTTAAATGTGTATAATTCTATATTAATATTAAACAATCATTGCAGTTTATCTTATAACAAACCCAGTTTCCATTTTTACTTACATAGGGAGGATTTTGCTACTCTATGTAAATATGTGCACCAGCATGCAGAAGAGGCATAATGATGGGGCAACTCTTCATAGCTCAATTATGATATCCTATATATTTTTATCCCTGTTGTGTTTCTTCAGTGAAGAAGATCTGATACCATCTCTTATGAATTACCGTGGGTTTTTATGGTGGGGGGAGCATTAAAGAAGATTCTTTAGACAGCATGGGCTTCTGATTGCCTCATTTTCTGCAAGCAAAACTAGTGTTCTCCTAGTTTTGGAATGTCCTCTAAGTTTCACTTATTATAATGGTTATTTAACTATGCTGTAAGACTTACACATATTTTGCTTAATTGCATTACATTTTTATACAAAACATTTTCTCTTCCTGGAAAAATAAACAGAATATTTGATCTCAAATTTTGAAACTTATTTAGGTAACTTTGTAATCTTGCCTATGTTTAGACATAGGATGAGATATTTATTTTATTAATTTTAATATACAGTTTTATGACTTAAAGTTACCTTTCTATGTACTATACTTGTTTATCTATGATACTCTCAAAAAGAAATTGAAGTGCATAAATTTTGCTAAAAGTTAATGTGGCTATTCTGATGACCGATAAATAGATTATTTTAGGCAGTTTTCTATTGGAACTTTTCATAGTACAGCTATTTTATCACATTTTTATAGTCTTGGGGCTGGGATTGTAACTCAGTGGTAGAATGCTTGCCACTGGGTTCAATCCTCAACACCATAAATGAATGAATGAATGAATGAATGAATGAATGAATGAATCATGTCCATCTACAAATAAAAATATTTTAAAAACTTTCAAGGAAAAACTGTTTCTTACAAAACTTCAAATTACCCTTAAAGACTTGCTATAGAATTCTAAATGATTATGTTCTTCATGATGTGAAAAGTTTCTACCTTTATATTTATTTAAAATTTTCTGACATTTTTTGAAATCAGTACTAATTGTTATTTTTTTTTCTCACAGCTTCATATTCTCCAATTCAGCCTCATTCTCTAATAAAACATCAACAGATTCCTCTTCATTCACCACCTCCCAAGGTTTCCCATCATCAGCTGATATTACAACAACAGCAGCAGATTCAACCAATCACACTTCAGAATCCAACTCAAGATCCACCCCCATCCCAGCACTGTATACCACTCCCAAACCATGGCCTTCCTCCAGCTCCCAGTAATGCCCAGTCACAGCATTGTTCACCAATTCAAAGCCATCCCCCTCCTCTAACCGTGTCTCCCAACCAGTCACAGTCAGCACAGCAGTCTGTGGTAGTGTCTCCTCCACCACCTCATTCACCAAGTCAGTCTCCTACTATAATTATTCATCCACAAGCACTTATTCAACCACACCCTCTTGTGTCATCAGCTCTTCAGCCAGGGACAAATTTGCAGCAGTCTACTGCTAATCAGGTACAACCCACAGCACAGTTGAATCTTCCATCCCATCTTCCACTCCCAGCTTCTCCAGTTGTACACATTGGCCCAGTTCAGCAATCTGCCTTGGTGTCCCCAGGTCAGCAGATTGTGTCTCCAGCATCACACCAGCAATATTCAACCCTACAATCCTCTCCAATCCCAATTGCAACCCCTCCACAGATGTCAGCATCTCCTCCAGCTCAGATTCCACCACTGCCCTTGCAGTCTATGCAGTCTTTACAAGTGCAGCCTGAAATTCTATCCCAGGGCCAGGTTTTGGTGCAGAATGCTTTGGTGTCAGAAGAGGAGCTTCCAGCTGCAGAAGCTTTGGTCCAGTTGCCATTTCAGACTCTTCCTCCTCCACAGACTGTTGCGGTAAACCTACAAGTACAACCACCAGCACCTGTTGATCCACCAGTGGTAAGCCCTTGGAAGCTCTTTGACTTTCTTGCTGAACTAAAAGTAAAAACTTTTTTCTCCCACACTGTTATATTGCTAAACCTAAATGCCTATGAATTTTAAAAGCTTGGTATTTCCGTATGTCAGTATTCTGACAAACATGCTATATGGGAAAAAAAAAAGCCATTATTTATTGTAGTATGGTTGCATGCTTGATAATCTGTGATGGTTATTTAAGTCCCTCGTTAATTTTATTACTATTTAAACAAATCCATCTGCTATCTTTACAGAGTTGATTTTTTTTCCCCAAGGGAATGCATTTGAACCAGTGTCATCTGCACAAAGTTTTTTCTCTTAAGGTGATTATCCTTCATAGATCCCTTCTGTTGGCTTGTGTGTTCTTGTGGTTTATCTAGCTACCCTTTTTGGTTGTATGCATTCAGAAGTCCTGAGCCTTGAGAGGCTTTGGTTTCAAGGTGGAGGAGGTATGCTTGTATGATGTAATTTTTTGGTAAAATTGTATTATGTAATTAAAATTTTATAAATAATTATTCTAGGAAAGAGCCCAAGTTTGCAAAAAACATAACTGATATTTTATTTCTACTGAGGGAAAGTATACACTTAAAATATTTCTAACTTAAAAAGCTAAAAAATCTCAGTAAAAATTGCAACGCTGGGAATGGAAGAAAATCTACTGGAAGGAGTAAAAATTTTGAGTAATTGAGATTGTAGTGAAATTTATTAGAATAAACTTCTAAAAATGGTTACATGTTGTTTAGAAAGGAAAATTATCTTGAAAAACATTTAAAAATAGCATCTAAGGGATTTATAAAATAATTTACAATAAATTTGGAATAAGAACTCTAAAATATTTAGTCAGAATAATCCAATTTATATTTTTTACATTTTATATTTTATAAATCCAATTTATATATTTTTCTTTTCCTTTTAGTACTAAGAGTTGAACTCAGGGCTTCTTGCATACTAGATACATTCCCAGTGCTTTTACTTTTATTATGATACAGGGTCTTGCTAAGTTGTCTGGCTGGCCTTGAATTTGTGATTCTTCTTCCTTAGCCTCTTGAGTAGCTGGGATTTCAGGTTTGAGCAACCATGCCCCACTCATAATTAATACTGAGAAGAAGAATTTTCCTAAAAGGAGGTTTTTGCATTATACCTCACTGAAAAGATTTTATTACTTAAAAGCTAATTGGCTTAGAATGGAAAGGAGTTTCAGAGTCTCCATAATAGGAAACATTTGGGATCTCAGAATGCAAATTTATAGATATTTTATTCTTATCATTCTGAGTGATCTTAATAAGCATAGATTGAATTCCACTTGCTGTTACCCTTTTTAACAGACCTTCACAGAAACAACAGTACTAGAAATGTTTGTCATTTATAATTATTATGTCTCTATATTTTCTTTTAATGATTTCTTAAGAGTTTACAGTGGGTACTGTCACAAAAACTGTTATAGAAACTATATGGTATCTTCAGAGAAATCAAATTTAATTTAAATTTTATTTTCTATCAGGTTCAGTTGTTTGGCTCTTAACAAGTAAAAAATAAAACACCTGCATATTCCTTATATTTTCTAATTGTTTTTATTAAGGGAAAAATATTTGGGTAGAAATATAAAAAATATAACACTTTAAAAATTAATTAAATTAAAACTGAAAATATTTAAGGTTGCATTTTGTTGATTCTTGCCTACCTCCCTGTTAAAGATTTTTTTTTTTAAAGTTTCTTATTTCATTTTTGGAAGAGTTTTTTCCTATGAAATACATAATTTTCTCTGTATCACGGATATAGTCATTATGCTTAGCTGTAGATGTTTTCCATTTACCTTTCCTCATCTTTTAACTTTCTTTGAGTAACATAGCTCTGTTTGTTAAATTACTATATTTTCTTCTATAATCCTTGTATTATTTTTCCATCAAAACACATTTATTTACAAATTACAGTTTCTTGGTGGTTCCAAATATTTAAGGTAGAGAGATATACTTATTTCTTTAGAGATGAAGGTTTGAAAGATAAGAGTGAATTATCAAAGTGAAATCAGTATGTTTTTTGAAAGATATTTATAAAAGCACTAAAGTTTTTAATTGACATTTGGGTATAAATGAGATATGTTGAGGGTAGATAATTTAGAACTAATAAACAAATGTTCCTCAGTTTATTTAGGAAAGGGAGACAGATGGGAATAATGGACTTTATTGAGGTAAGTTTGGCAGTCTTTGTTATTTTTAGAATAGTTATAGTTAACAAGTTAAGCAGAAAATGTGATGTGTAGTTTCCTAATGATCTTTTGAGCAAAACCTCCACTTTGCTATTTTCAATATTTTAGTTATTGCATTTAGATTTCTTTGTGCTGATCATGCCAGATGTCTGTGACAGATTCGTTTTTGCCTACTTCCTTAAACTTTTTAACTTACTTTGCCTTTACATGGGAAATTGGAAGAAAAATGTGTATAGTTATCCTTAACTATAGAGAATGAAAAGTATTTTACAGTATTCTTTGATGAATTATTTTTTAATGCTGTTTGTGTTATGACTTCATCCTTTAAAACACTTTCATTATTTTTAAAAAATCAGTTCAGTGTATGATAAGCTTTGATTCCTTAAAAGGTACTATAGCAAATAAATGTTTGAGTAACATGCTGACAGCATTAAGATTAAAGTGATAGTTTCAGCTTTTCTTTGGAAGAAAAGTAGTATCTACTCAAGAAAATGCTATCCACATAAAATTGAACTGGTTAATAAAAAACATACTTGTCTGATTATGCAGGATTAATTCCCCAACCACTCAGACACATTAATGGGGTACCAGAAAAATTTCTTTTTTTTTTTTTTTGGTTAACCCCGAAATGTCTTTCTGGTTGATTTTTCCCTATATTGGGCATTAACATCATTTTTAAAATTACTATTATCAAGAACAGATACTAGCATTGTTATACTGTACAGTAATAAATGATTGCTTTCTTCTGAGACCATACATGAGGCAAGGAGTCTATTTTGGTGAAGCAGTTTTCCAGATGTAGGGTTATAAGTGAATTATTTTAATAACATTATCTACTTAGAGGCTGATTGAGATAATTCAGAATATTGCACTTGATATAAAGTTATCAATAACAACAGAATTTTTTATTTTTATATATTGTTTTTGCCATACCTGTTATCCAACCCAGGGCCTTGTACATAATAGGCAAGTACTCTAACCATGTGCTATACCCCTGGCCTAGCCAGTAATGTAATTTTTAAGTTTTAAAAAAGACTAAAAATGTCTGGGGTTGTGGCTCAGTGGCAGAGTGCTTGCCTAGCATGTGTGAGGCACTGGGTTCGATCCTCAGCACCACATATAAATAAATAAAATAAAATAAAATAAATACAGGTCCATCAACATCTAAAAAATATTTTTAAAAAAGGACAAAAATTTGGGGGCGTTGTAATCATTTAAGAAACTTTTTTTTTTTTTTTTTTTAGTAGAGGCTGGGACATATTTTTATTTGTAACTCTTTCTTGTTGTTATGTGTACCTATGAAGTTTCATCTATAAACACGACTTACGCTGGATTCAGAAATCTTGATCACTTTAATTTTATATAGTTATCAAAATGTTTATTATTAAAAAATGTTAGATGTCACAGTTATTTTATGAATATTGTTGATTTTTACTGGAATATTAATCAGTTTCATTAAACAATTCCAAAAAACTCATAATCCTTTATAAATTTAGGTAAAAGCCTAGCACATTTATAAGGAGGGAGGTGAACTGTTTTGTAGCTTTGTTTTTAGTATCTTTATCATCTTTCATAAATAAATGGTTAAATAAATAACAAATGATGACCAATTAAAATACTTATATAATAATGTCTCTAGAAATTCACTTTGAAAATTAAGCCTTCAGTTTAATATGTTAGTTATTTCTATTTATAATGCTTTTTCTCAGAGATCTTTTGATTCCATGTTCTCTTTTAAGTATAATCTTTACAGTTAAATAACAGGGTAGTTAAAGATTTAAAACCTTTCCCCCATAAATATGGAACAATATTAAAAAACTGAAATATACATCCAAATGGCTTAGTGGGTGTGTGTGTGTTTGTGTTTGTGTGTGCATGTGTGCATATGAGGGTTTTAAAGAAAGTTATATTCTGCATACATGTTAGCTTGCGGATTCATTAATTCTTGAGTAGACAGAAAAGGAAAGATAAGTTGCATTTTTTTTAAGCCTTTGGACATTGCTTTTCATAGTTTAATCTTTAGTTCACAATATCATGATAAAAAGAACCTGGGATATAGTTTTAATGACAGTATATCCTAATTTCCTATTATGTTATATATAATTTCCTATTATGTTATTTTGGAAATTTGCTTAGTGTGCTTTTGAAAATTCCTGTTATCTACTTGGACTTTGACAAGTAGAAATTAATAGACACAGTAGTAGTATTCTTGAGATTGATATTTGATTATAGTGAAATTAAAACTTTTTAAAATTCTCAAAATTAAGAATATGCTTTGACTATTATTATTTTGGAAAATTTCTGGCCTAGATAACTGATACATAGCTGGCTTTCAGTGAAATATTAATCAAGTATTATGAAAAACTTCATTTGAGTGATTATAAGGTTTTCCTTTCAACTTGGCAGAATAGTCATTTTTACTGTTTTAAAGTTTAATACACTTAGAATTTAATTTTTTAAAATTAAGAATACCTCATTAAATGTATTTTTGGAAACATTTTAAGGCAGTGTGGTTTATCATTGCAGGTTTATCAAGTAGAAGATGTGTGTGAAGAAGAAATGCCAGAAGAGTCAGATGAATGTGTCCGGATGGATAGAACCCCACCACCACCCACGTTGTCTCCAGCAGCTATAACTGTGGGAAGAGGAGAAGATCTGACTTCTGAACATCCTTTGTTAGGTAAGAAAATGTCAGCATATAGGGGAATTTTTCTATTTGATTAACATGAGTAATGAGAAGTATTTTTTTCAACTAGAGATGGTATTAATCTAATTTGTTGCTGTGGTTAACTATAGCAAAAGGTAGATTAGAAGTCAAGATTTCAAAAGATTTTATTTTCCTTCTTGGAAAACTATTTAATAGCAGGGAAACTTTGCAGTTTATATATTTTTCAACACCACTCAAATGAAAAACATGCCTTTGCAAATCTTCTAATTTTCAGTCGCTTACGCTTTTACAGATGTGTTTCATATGCTTATTCAGATTCTTGAATTATTTTCATCTTAAAAGTTAGAATAAATAAAAATTCTCTCAAAAGACTTAAATCACACTTTCTAAAAATAAAGTACTCTAAATCATACCTGATATTCACTTATTTGTGATCAAGAAGACCAAGTACTTTTAGTTTCTTTAATATTATAGTACTTTTCTTAAAAGAAGTAAGTTTTTAAAAATTCTTGCATTTAAGTAAATTCTTATTCATTAATTCATTACTACTTATGAATTCAAGTACATCTCCTGAACGTCCTTCCTCACAATATCAAAGTTCTTGTGAACCTTAGGTATCTTATTGAAATATTAGTTTAGCTTACAACTCAGAGTCTCATCCTAAAACAGATAAGTTCCATGGTTTTTTTGTTTTGTTGTTTTTTTAATTTATGAATATTCTATCTGGATTGGGGGTTGGAAAACTAGTTCACTTTCAGATATCTTCTGCTGCCTATTTTTGCATGGCTGAAGGTAAGGAGGGTTTTAAAATTTTTGAATAGTTGAAAAAAATCAAAATAATCATTGTTCATGTCATGTGAAAATTATTTGAAATTCAAACTTTATTGAACATAAAGTTCTGTGAAGCATAGCCATGCTTATTTGTTCACATATTATCTATGGCTGCTCTTGTGCTACTATCCACAAAGATGAGTAGTTGCAAAGACCAAGTGGCCCTTCACTGAAAACCTGCTGACCTATGAGCTAAAATATATCAATATTGGTTTTGGCTTTTTTATAAGTATCCTATTCTGTTGAATATCTCCTGGCCCTCATGATTGTTTTCAATTAAGAAAAACTACTGTAATAGGCATGGAAGCCAAATGTAATGGGACACTGACCCTGTTTTACACCAAAGGAACTCTTGCCCTCCTCTCTTCTTTATCATGCTACATCCTCTTTCCTTCCTTTCTCTCAAGTTTTTATTTCCTAACTACTAATGTGGATCTCTATAAAGTATAAAAGGTGAAAATTAGTTTTCTTGTAACTTTTTCCCCTTCTGAATATTGAAAACGTATAGTCAATAAAATTATATAAAGTAAGATGGATTAACATTATTTACTTTTATATTCAAAGTAATACCTCAAAGATAGATTTAAGTCTGTAATATCAAATATATGTGTTTTTTTACATGAAAAATGCATTTTGATGCTAACAGTTTTTCTAGAGTTTTGATTTAAAAAGGAAAAATATAAGTTTAATTGAGTATTAAACATGCATTGTGACTGTGATTTAGTTACAAAATAAGCATCACTAATGGTACTAAAACCAAATTTAAATATTTTTTGCAATGTTGAAACAATATCTTTACATCTTAGGAATATATTCTGAGATCCTGTGGATGCATATTCCTCTAAGTTGTCAGCTACAATATAGTCATTTATCTTCCTTTAATTTCTTTCATACTTTTCACTCTTTTATTGTATATGGGTGGTAGGTGGGGACAGGGGATTACAGGTTGATTTTTAGAAACTCCCATCAACTAACTTGTGAAAATAGACTTGTTTCATCTAGGATTCAGTTTAAGTAAAAGTATGCAAAAAGCTAGGAAAAGTTTTTAGCTTTTGAGTAGGAAATGAGGTGCTGAATAGACACTAAAATCTATAAAATGGCAAAGTTATATAAGTTAAGATTTTCTATAATACTTGCCTTAAATCTAAAAGGTTTCATAATTGTGTTTCTGTTCTGTGGTAATATGTCACAATGTTTCTCATGATTTGGTTTTATTTTTGTTTTGATGGTATTAGGAATTGAACCCAAGGGTGCTCTACCACTGAGCTATATCCCCAGCCCTTTTTATTTTTCATTTTGAGACAGGGTCTTGTCAAGTTACTGAAGGCTTGAGTTGCTAAGGTTGACCTCAAATTTATGATCTTCTTTCCTCAGTCTCCTGAGTTAATGGGATTATAGGCATATGACACCACATTCAGCTGTTTTCAGTTTAACAGTTTTTTATAAACTGGCAATTAATAGGCTTCATCAAAAAGTCAGTAACTTACAACTCTATTGCTTTCTTTCAATATTTCTTTATTTTTCTTTCTTTTTTTTTAAACTGAGGTTCAAAACCAAGGGTGCTTTACCCCTGAGCCCCAGCCTTTCTTTTTTTAATTTTTAATTTTGAGACAGGGTCTGGAGGCTGGCCTGGAACTTATGATCACCTGCCACAGTCTCCTGAGTCTCTGGAATTACAGATATGAGCCACTATGCCTGGCTTACAGCTCTATTTTTAACAAAATTTAGGACTAAGATTTAAACATATGATCTAAAAACTAATTAGAATATACACCAAGCAGTATTTTCTTTCTTTGTGTTTTTGATGTGGTACCAGGGGTTGAACTCAGGGGCACTCAACCACTGAGCCATATTCCCAGTCCTATTTTATATTTTATTTAGAGACAGGTTCTCACTGAGTTGCTTAGCTCCTCGCTTTTGCTGAGGCTGGCTTTGAACTTGCGATCCTCCTGCCTCAGCCTCCTGAGCTGCTGGGATTACTGGTGTGCGCCACCATGCCTGGCCCAACCAGTATTTTCTGAACAAACCAAATTATACTTAATTATGTTTAATGCAGTATGTCTTGATCCATTTTGTGTTGCAAAATATAACAGAATACCACAAATTTGGTCATTTATATTGAGCAAAAATTTATTTGGCTCCTGATTCTGGAATCTGGAAAGTTTAAGATCAAGGGGCTGCATCTAATGAGGACCTTCTTGCTGTGTCATAACAGGGTAGAAGGTATCACATGGGTAAGAGTATGCATGCAAAGGGGATGTCAAACTCATTTTTATATCAGATCCATTCTGGTGATAAGAAACCCACCTCTAAGGTAACAACATTAATCAAATCTTGAGGGCTTTGCCTTCAGGATCTAATCACCTTTTAAAGGTCGCACCTCTTGTCAGTGTTATATTGAGGATTAAATTTCCAATACATGAACTTTGGGATTCAGACTATAGCATGCCACTTTGTATTTCTAAAGTAAAGAAGTATCATAAACCTATAAAGGATATTAAAATTTAATTTTGTTTCAGTTCCCCTATAGATTAATTTTATCTTTCCAACAGAAAACAGAGTTCCCTTTCAGAATTTTTGTGGTTTTTATTCTTTGTTTCATAGAAATATATGTGAAGATTGATATATGGATAGGAGTTTTGTGGAATATTTTTTGATAATACATATGTACAACTATATATGTGTTACTAGAATTAGCATTTTTTATTGAGTTTTTAAAGATTGTGTGACCTTAGGCTTTCAAGTATAGTTTACCTTTGTAAATTTGGTGGAAGTAAGTTAATTTATGATATAACAGTGCCATTAAAAACTACATAGTGATATTTATCATGTTGGTGATATTTATGGTGAATTGTTAGTGTTTCTATTGCTTGTTTCATTCATATTTATTAATTAATTAATTAATTAATTAATTAATTAATTAATTAATGGTGCTGGGGATTCAACCCAGGACCTTGCATGTGGTAGGCAAGTGCTTTACTGTTAAACTAATCCCCAGCCTGAATTTCCATATCTGAGATGATATGCATAGGATTACTACCCTATTTTATTAGTTTATTTTAAATTTTTTTGAGGGACTAGGGATCAAACTCAGGACCTGTGCTTGCTAGACAAGTGTTCTATTGCTGAGATAGATCCTTAACCCTACTACATATTTTTTATTTTTGGTACCATGGATTGAACCCAGGGCCGCTTAACCACTGAGCCACATCCTCAACCCCTGCTACATATTCTATTAGCCGAGTTTTCTATTCTTTGGGGATTCCTATTTTTTCTTCTACTGTACCTAACTGGGTTATATTTTGAATACCTTGATAGTTGGTATCAGTTCTTTTCATACTAATGGTGGAGAAGAATTAACAGAGCTGTTAAGAGCATGATATCTAGGACCAAACTGCCTGGCTCAGTATCCAAGCTTCATTGCTTATTTACTATGTGCCATTAAGGCAGGTAATTTAAGATGAAGATGATAATAGTATCTACCCATAGGCTAGCTGTAAAGATCAAATGAGTTAGAATATGTAAGGCACTAAACATAGTGGCTGGCATATGAATTGCTCAGAAGATATTATTATTTTCTTCAGATGTCTATATTCACTGATATTCTTAAATAGCCACTGGTTCCATCTTTCCACTTTAGTATAGGCAGTAAAGGGCTGGTGCTACCAAATGGACATAAAGTATCCATCATAGCTGTCAGGACCATCTTACTGTGGTCCTCAGAATTTGAAGAGAAAGAATCATAGTGATCCAGTCCAACATTTTGCATTTGACTAGTGCTGCAGTGTCCCAAAATTGACTAATACAGTGCACATATATAGTGCCATTGAAGAGGGAGGTATCTTATTGCTTAGGTTAAGAGTGATGGCCTGTGTGATATTTTGTGGATTTCATGATCCTTTTTTGTTTTCAAATTATTTATCTGCCTTTCTACCCATACCACCAGGAATATAGAAGTAGGAACACAGGGAATTTAATACCTGTGTACTTTAAAAAACAAACAAAAACCACCACCATTTTTGTAATTACTCTTTGAGTTGATATTCTAAAACATTTCCTGACTTACAGGGCAGTTTTTTTTTTTTTTAAGCCATGTTTGGATGAGAATTTTGAACAAGTTGCCCTCTTTTATAAAATGGAGATAAAAGTATTTCTACTTTATGATCACTGTGCAGATTAAATGAGATAGTAAATACTAAGTTCTTAGAACAGTTTTTGCAAATAACATATTGAATATTATCATTAACAGTGTTTATTCTTGAATGCTTTTTAAAGACTTGCATGGACAAAATGCTATAAAATAATTTTTTTTTTTTCCAGAGGAAGTGGAATTACCTGCAGTGGCATCAGTCAGTGCTTCAGTAATTAAATCACCATCAGATCCTTCACACGTTTCTATTCCTCCACCTCCACTCTTACTTCCAGCTGCTACCACAAGGAGTAATAGTACATCTACGCCCAGTAGCATTCCAAACACAGAAAATAAGCCTCCACAGGCTATTGTTAAACCACAGATCTTGACTCATGTTATTGAAGGCTTTGTGATTCAAGAAGGATTAGAGCCATTTCCTGTAAGTAGCAAGCATATTTGTGGGTTTTTAAAAAATTATTATTATTCACATAACATTATTTTTTTAAAATTGTCTATTCTTCTATAAGAAAAAGCTTGTAATTTTATTTCAAAAAAAGTTGACTTTATCTGGAATTTAACATTCTATACACTTTACATATGTAACTTCCAAGTATATTTCTACAAATTTTATGCTCTCTTTAGATGTATAAAGTAAGGAAAAAATGAAAAAAATTCAGAGTATAGAGGCATTACATCTGAAATTTTTAGAAACAGATAGTTGGAAGTTTACTTAAACAAAATAAACCTTTTCAATTTTTCTTTTTGACGGAATTGAAACAACACTTAGTACATTATTTTAAGAATAGTATTTTCTTTATGTGATTTTTTTGTGAGTTTTAACTTAGATACAGAAAGTATTAACTTCTCAGTGCCCTAACACTTGAAGTTTACCAATTTATCGTTTATAATTACCAGATAGTTTTCTTCCTAAATTTTAGCCTTTGACCAGATTTTTTAAATGCTTAATATGTTCACCTCACAATGGAGGTGTTCTATCATTATGAGTTTTACAATTTGAGATTAGCTGTAGCTGTATGTAATTTATATGATAATATCTAGAGATGAAAATTTTTCCTTAGAAAATAAATCAAGGACAAGTAGACATGTAAAAACATAAACTATTTCTCTTGAAGATCTTGGAATCATCTATTTTCAGATTCATGGGTGAATTTTTTTTTTTTTCAGTTGTAGTTCGACACAATACCTTTATTTTATTTATTTACTTTTATGTGGTGCTAAGGATCGAACCCAGCGCCTTGCACGTGCTAGGCAAGCCCTCTACCATTGAGCTACAACCCTAGCTCCGAAAATCTGGTATTTTGATAGTTGCTTTTGTAGTGTTTTCTGCATGTGTATATGTGTGTTAACTTGGATTTATTAATATGTTGGTATTGAAGATGTAGGAAGTCTTTTCTCCCTACTTAAACAAAACCATATGTGTAATTAAAATGTTTGTTTGGATCCTGGTTGTGCTGCATACTAACCAATTTTGTAAAGTTATTCAACCTTTCTGGTCTTCATTTTGCTTGTCTGGGAGATGGAGATGTTTCTTTACTCTTAGGGTTACTGTGAGAATTAAACGTGCAAACATTATTCTGTGTAGTGACTGACACATAATAGCCATAACAATTATTCTTTATTATCACTAATGATAATTAGAACTTTGTTTTTCAGATTGCACAAACAATATACATGTTCTAAATGAGAATTTGGGAAATGTATAAGACATATAATCCCAAGTAATATCACAGTGTGTGTGTTTATATAATCAGAATTGTCATTATTACCTGTATAATCCTACTTTCACATCATAAATTTTGTGCATTTTTATCATTCCGTATCTTTTTTTTTTTTTTTTTTT